GTAGTTTCTTATGAGGGTTGTTAAAATGGATTGCTGGATCTGAAATACAAGTCGAGAGTCAACTATCGTGTGATCCGCGACATGAACCTACTACGGCAGCAGCAAAATGGCTATTGTCTCCGTACATTGACTCAAACAAGGTCAACCCTCACCAACCCCCGCCCAAAAAAAAAAAACCTCCAATGAGCCATGTGCCCCTTTTTTATTCCTTCATTCATTTACTTATTTATTAACCTTGCCATATTTTTATTTCATGTGATAAAAGTTTCACTATTTTAAAGGGAAAAAATGCTTAAATTATGCTTGGTATTTGTATTTCATTATTTCAAAATATTGAACTCCTAAAGAACTCTTTATGATGATGATGATAAACTCAATTTATTATATCTAAGCCATAAAGAAAAACAATCTCATCAAATTAATTAATATTTTAAAAAAATAAACCAAAGGATGTATATTCATTTTCCACCTAATAAAAGTTTACTGCTTCTTCCAATCTTAAATAATGATAAAACAGAATACTAATAGACGAATGTGTTTTAGTTCTAAATATATATCTTAATACACTATCTCTTATCAAGTTCATAACTTTTTTACTAAACTATTTCAACTAATTATACATGTTAAAGGGGTTTTATCAAAAGAATAATATCCAATGAAAATATTAAAAGGAATACTTTAGAACAAAACAACATATATTTATTAAAAAAAACTAATATAACTAATTTGTATAATATATATAAATTAGTTATGCAGCTCTAATATTTATGAGCAGGAGTATTAGTTTTCTGTAGTAGAGGAAGTTTCAATATTTTATGATCTCAAAATTACACTTGCAACTTCTAAAAGAAATAGTAATGAATTTGATTATGAATTGAGGTTGAAGCTTCCCTTTTTGAAATGGAATCAAAGTATTGAGATCCAGGAAGTCGTTAACTTGATGCCAGCGTGGTTGGCTTGATGCTGAAGGAAATGTCTAATAATAATAATAATAATAATAATAATAATAATAATACAGAGTCAGAGAGCAACAGGGAAATGTGTGTGAACGTGAAACTTGTAAAGATTCTTTGTATCGGATTTTTTGGGTATCTCTTACTTTGTTGACCATTTTGGCGTCGCCCTTAGTTGACCAGGCGTGTTAGGAGTTGTACAACCTTATATATTCTAAATATTTCCAAGTTCTAAAGTTGTTTACCATAATTTTCTTGGACTGTTCTTAGACTTAATCCTTAAGAACTTACTCCTCGGTCCTTATTAAAACCCCATTTGACTTTTTATTTGGTCCTAATTATAACCCAATCCATTTTGTCTCTATATTTATGCATTTTTTTCCAAGATAATCCTTCTAATAATGATAGTTTTAGCCATATACTTAATTAGCAAGGATATTTTAGAATGACAACACTTTTTATTATAAATAACCAACTTAACTTACTTTCTTAATCTCGTCAAATAAGTCAATTGAGTCTTATAATTAGGACCGGAGGAGTATTTAAAAGGGACCAACATGATCTCTTATTAATTTAGTAGGTTTTTTGCATCTCTTTAAAGCAAAAAAAAAAAAGAATTTATGCTTTATGAAATAAACTACTTTCACTTGTCCAATACAAAGTCATTTACTGGCTTGAAAGATGAAGGAAAACGGAACTAAATGGAATGCGGAATGAAAACTCACTTGTCTATGAATGCTTTGGTCAAGGGGTGGTTGACTTGTTTAATACAATAATATTTTTTTTGTTCTTTAATATAAAAGTTACCGTGGTGTTATATTTAGTTCTAAATAATATAAGAAATTAATTCATTTTTTCTTATATTTATTATTTTTAAAACTAATTTACCTAACTCATAAACGGATAATCTCATGTAACCATTTTAAGAAAATTATGTCATATTTATTATAGTTAACTAATTTATATGACTTTTTAAATTTACTCAAATAATTAAATAATTTTTATACTAAAAAATAAAAACCACCAATTTTGGATATATGCAGTTGTGGAATTTAAAAAAAAAGAGTGCGGATTAATCAACACCAGCCCCATCCAAAAAAAAAAGGAAAAGGAAAACCGGAGGAAAGGAGGAAGAGGGATGGAGAGTGCAAAAGAACCGGGAAAAAAAAAATTCCTCCCCTCCTCTTTTCCCCCCATAAACCTTGAACCAAACAGTGCTTAAGGGGGTTTTTTTTTGTTTGGCTACATACAAACATCTTTCTACTAAAAACAATTTTATTCGAAATATTATCGGCTACTAAATATGAATACCTCTCCAAACACGAATATAAATCTTAACTCAGTATCCGCTTCTACCATACCCAACGATCAATAATCAGGGTCATTATGTTAGGCTGCGTAACACCTTAGCTTCTATATTGGGCTGTGATAGGCGAGGCCCACTCTAATTCACACCTAATAATACTTAATATTCCTTTCAGTTTTAAATATAAAAATTTGTAGACGAATTTGTTTGATCATGAACATGACAAAGCTAAAAACGAAAAAAAATTAATAAAACAAAATGTACAAATATTTATTCAGAAAATTGCAAATATAAGAGTCTTATTTGCAAATTACTGTAATTGAGCTATGATGATAAAGGCTTAATTTGCAACAAGTATAGTTTCAACTACATGAACCAATTATTTACAATTTATTTTTCAGCACAAATTTTTAGAACCTGCCCTTCTAGTTCTATTCATAGGATAGAGGGAGAAATTTTTTTTGTTCTCTTTATAAGGATAAAATTAAAAAATAGTTAAATTTTAAATGAGAATTAATAAAGTTTATGATTTTTCCTGACTTGTAAAAAATATATTCAAGCTAACTTATAAATAGGACTAGAGAAATAATTGTTATTCAAATTTGATAATTTTGAGGAGAGATATCACCCAAGAGGAAGCCAAACTGGAACTTGGAGCCTCAGCGTCTAAACACGGACCAGTCTATGTGGTCCTCCATCTTGTTCACAACACAAGACATTAGTTAAAAAAAATTTTGATTCAAAATATAAGATATTGTCAAGATAATTAATACTAATAAAAATATGAGAGAGAGATAATAAAAGTATAACACTAAAGTCAACTTTATCAATTTTAGTGGTAAAATAGAAAAACTCTATTATTTTAGAATAAATTTAATAACGTAATTTTTATTTCTTGGTATTTTTGGGAACCTTTGGTCATGTACCCCTTCTGATGATTTAAGAAGTAGTACTGGTGATGGCGGATGATGCGGGGTCATGCTAATGTATGAACATCGGATTGGTCCAGACAATAATTTAAAAATTAATGGTTTAAATTAATTAATTCAGGTTGGACAAGTTATTTAAAATAATATAATTTAATTTAAACATATAAAAATATTTATATATAACTCTAAAAAGAATGATCTTTTTTTTTCAGGAAAAAAGGTACTCCTCCGGTCCTTAATATAAGACCCATTCTTGAGTTGGTTTTGGTCCTAAATATAAGACCCATTTCTCATATTTATCAATTTTCTCTAAATTACCCTTATGAATACTCTCTCAACTATAATCAAGTAGAAGAAGGAGATGAGGTATTAGGAAAGATTACTATGGTGTTTTAGGAAAATGTGTCACTTTTCTTATAATTAACTAACTTACCTAACTTCCTTAATCTAATCAAATTAGTTAAATGGGTCTTATATTAAGGACCGGAGGAGTATTTCTGGATCAGGGAGGGACCTACTCATGGCGCTATGGGGGCAAGATGAAGTTCTTATATTAATACATATAATATTAATATTTTCTTTAAATAGAAAAAAGAAGCTTAATTGCTCTTTATACGATTTTTTAAAATTTCAAACGCATTTAGTAAAGTGCATTTCTTCTGTAGTTCTTCAAAACCAATTCTATAAAATCAACAGAACATTATCATCACGTACTATTTTCTATCCTTGATATAAGAGCTTGTTTAATTTTTATTTTAATCTTAAATATAAGACCCCAATCTATTTTGTCTTTTATATTTATCTATTTTTTTAAGATTTTTTTTGTAATAATAATAGTTCTAACCAATACATTTGATTAGCAAGAATATTTTTTTTAAAAAATAATACATATTTATTACAAATAACTAATTTAACTAGTTTTCTTAATCTATTCATATTAGTCAACTCGTTTTTATGTTAAAAACCAAAGGTAATATAATTTAGGCTTCTTAAATAAAATTTAAAGTCTTTATTTTCTTTAAAAACAAGAACGATGTCTTTTAGTCTTTATTTGCTGAACGCCCTAGTAGTCAGCGTAATTTTAATTATGCCCCTCAAGTTTCGTCTCCTCATAGTTGGATGCTCACAGAGTACTCCCTGTCACGCGCCCGTCCCTAGAGATTTAAAACCTGATGCAAGGATCAACAGAGCAGGGTAGGTCCGTTTGAAGATGCTGACGCGGATGACTAGTGATTATATGGGTTTTGACTAAATGTTGCTGTATTATACACTGATTTGACTAAGAGGTTGTTTGTACGAAAACAAAACTATGATTTTAAAAATATTTTTATGATACACAAATAAATATGTAAAAAAATTTAACTCATTTTGTAAAAAGATATCTAGATATCTTACAGAAGCACTTTTCTATGATACCAAACACTCCCTAAAACATGCAAACTAAACTATGGCTAGAAGGTTAAACTAATCATGTGCCTCTCTTTTATGATACACAAAACAGAGCTAAACAGAGTTGTAACTTTTTTTCTGCGCATATGAACAACGTAAGGACAATCCCCCGATTCTGACATATCGATGAAACAAGTTCATGAATTTAGATTCAAATTTAAGGAACGCATTTGAGATCCAGGTTCCACAAGGATTCACTCTTTAAGGTTGTGCCTTGGTTCCGTCCACATTGTTAATAAGTATGTTTATGAACTTTTTGAGAAAAAGATAGTGTTATCTTTTTTTAACCCTACTCTATAATAACGTGGCCAATGAACTGAAGGATAAACAATTCTAGAAACAATCAAGGCGACGATGATTTTCTGGCATCAATCCTCGGTTCAGTATTCCTTATGGTCCACCTGATGTCGTAGATAATCAAACCAACTAATAACAACATTAATAAATTGGAATATATAACTAGTGACGAAAATAACAGTCAATTCAGTTCAAAATTGTATTAAGATATTAAAACGCCTATGCAGGTACTAAGGCTACCCGGGCAAAAATGACTCAACCATTGATTCCAACGAGACCCCCAACTAAAAAGGAAGGTGTCCAGAACTCAGTGAGATTTAACATGCTGCAAAACAACGTTATAGGCTTCATGTTCCTCTCCGAAATCCTGCAATAAGCCAGAGATTAAAACAGGCAAGTAGCAAAGAACATGTGCTTCTATGGCCAATACACAGTTCATACCTTGACAACCACACAAGAGCAGCCAACCACCTTTCTAGCCTTTCCTTCTGAATCAATCTTACACAACTGAAGCATGACAAGGAAACAATGACGGAGACCAAATCTATTAGGCTGTATATTGTAGAAGTATAAATATACTGATAAAAACTATTCAAAACCTCAGGTTCAAAAGAAATCTTTAAGAGTTAAAATTTGGAGAGAATGATATTTGCAAGGGATGATAGTAAGATACAGTTAAATGCCACTTACACCAGCCCACTCCCCAAGGGTTTTTGCACTAGGAACTGTCAGCAAGCTAACACTGTGCTCAGCACAGAGGGATTTGACAAGTTTTACGTAGTCAGGTTGGTCACAGTCCTCAGCAAGAACACAGAGCTGCGCAGAATGCTTTTCAATAATCTTTGCGCCTTCATGAAGGCCCCGAGCAAGACCGCCATAAGCCAGTGATTTTCTCAGCACAAGCTGCAAGGCGGTCATGATGTCCATTGGCTCACCTGCAATTGGTGTAGCTGTCTCAGCAGCAACAACAGCCTCTTCTCTGCAAAGGAAACAATTCATAATAAATGAGCAAAACACATCAGACGCTCCTCTTCATCTAAATGAATCCAGAACAATGTTGACAAATGAAAACTTTAAGTAGTCTATCATGATTGGTTTCCAACATTCATAAACAAATACGACACATACTCTTATCCTTGGTTTTTCCTCTTCCAATTCAATGAAAAAAGGATTGACTTCATCAAAGTTAAAGCTGCAGATGAGTTCGAATCTAAATATAATCCATAATAATTCTCAAGAAAGCACATGGCAATATTTTATGAACCATAATAATCTGCAAATACATCCCCCACAACATATTTGTCACACCCAATGAAATGTCGTCAATTAGTGGTCGACATACAGAGTGGGATCGCCCATGAAGCATAAAAACTTGAAAAAAAGGCAGGTCCATATCGAATGCATATTACAATGGAGTTAGACATAATATCTAGTTACTTGACAGCTTAAAATACACGTCAATTTGTGACCAGTTATCACATTGCCTTATCAGGGTCACTGGCCTGTTACATGTCCAACTCAGTACTCATTAATTCAAAAATAATAACAATTAGATTATGAGAAGATCTCATTTAAGAACCTGCCATGCTTCCTATCAAAGATATCTTTTAGGAGAAAAACAAAAAGCATGACAATATCTGATCACACGCACCGTACACACGAAAGAAAAGATGTAATATAATGATTACTCTTGAGAGTAGAATATTCATACCCCGACATTTTCTTATTGGAAATTGAGCTCTACTTCCTGCACAAGCAAAAATAAACAAAACGCATTAAATCCATACTACAGAGCTAGTAAATGTTAAGCATCACGTGCATTTTCAAGATTAGACTTGAGCTCTCTTTTCCCTGGCTGGGTTTGGGTGTTTAACTACAAGGACAAGGACGATAATAAAATCAGCATCACCTAACCCAACTGCAGCAGGACAAATCTAAAATGAAAATCCTTTTTTCCGGCGGCTTTTTTATCGGGAAAAAAAAAAGATATACACATATAAGCCCCAGATATAACCGAAAAAAAGGGAGATGCTTCTTCTGAGCTAAATGAAGAATAATGCGATAAGGTGCGTGTGCGTGTGTGCTGACATATCAATCTCCTCTTTTACTCTCCTGATCCCCATCCCTCTCTTCTTCTTTTGTTCTATCTTCCATCCATTGTCCGTGGAGGACAAATACCTCCCCCCCCCCCCCAAAAAAAAATAAAAAAAAAACTCACAGATCCGCCACTGCCCAACAGGATCACAACAGGTATCTACTAAAAATACAGAAGAAGCTATCATCCTTAAAAGGAATGATACCAGTAAGAGGGCAGAATTTGACCTGAAAGATGAATCTGCCTAAATCCTATGGTTTGTGCTCGCGAGGCAGAATGAAGCGCCAAGAACAGACTTGAGAGACTTATCGGTGGAAACCATAAACCCTAATTTTTAAACGAAATGTTCCTGATAAAGACCCAAATGTCGATTTTGGGCTACGCCCTCATAGTATTTGGTCTTCTTTTCAGGCATGGAGACTCAGGGCCCGGCCCATTCGTCTAGATGAACAAACACTTTTTTTTAATAAAAAAAAAGTATACAAAGAATCCACACACTAAATTATAAGACTGATGCCAGCCATGTGCTAATATGATTTCATTTCAAGCTGCCAACAATCATGGTGATTTTGCAAAGAATCCACACATTACTGGTGGTTTTTTTTAGCGAATTACATCCACCGTTAGTGGTTGGTTGTTTGTTAGTTCTCCCCCAATCCTTAATATAAAACTCATTTAACTAATTTGATTATATTAAGAAAGTTAGGTAAGTTGGTTAATTATAAGAAATGTAACACATTTTTCATAAAACACTATAATCATCTTTCTTAATACCCCTTCTCCCTCTTCTACTTGATTATGGTTAAAGGAGTATCCATAGGGATAATTTAGAGAAAATTGATAAATATGAGAAATGGGTCTTATATTTAAGACCAAAACCAACTCAACAATTGGGTCCTATATTAAGGACCGGAGGAGTATAATTCTTATCATTATGTTTTTATTTATAAGTCACTTATATATATATATATATATATATATATATAAAGTTTGTCCTTGAATACAAGTCACTTGTGGGGTAATTAATAAAATTTTTTTAATTTTATCCCTAATGACTTAAATAGGTGAGAGAAAATACAAGACTTATTTTTCTAATACTCTTTCTTTAATAAGGGCAAAAGGTAGAAAAAAATTATCAATTTAATGCATTTCTTGATTTGTGGGTTTGTGATACAAGTGACTTATAAATATGACACAAAATTGTTGGTAATGACAAGTGCCAACGGTTTATCAAAACAACTAAATAAAGTTATAAATTTACATAATATGATAATTTTTAGAGAAATTGTATTTTTAAAAATTTTGTAAATGAAAAAACTCTTTGTACGAGAGCGAGGGCAAATTGGGCATCCAATTTGGAATAAAATGCCCTAAAGGTGTGACACTGATAGGATCTGGGAATGAAGAGTAAAGAAAGAAAAGGAAGAAAGAGGATTTGAGAAGAGAGAGAGAATAGAAGAGGAGAAAGGAGGAGTTAGGAGAAAGACAGGGAAGATAATTTGTCTGAATAATATTCCATACATAACATATTCTGTCAACATATTGAGTTTAAATACTGCTGAATAATAACCAACAACATAACTGAAAATAACTACTAGCAACCCATAAAATAAGACATAAAACACCCACATAGCATATATAACTACCCTGAATTCTCATGCCTCTTCCTAGAGTAAACCATGAGAGGACGTGGATCGCTATCATTTACCCCCTCCTAGAAAAGAAGCCTTGTCCGCAAGGTTGAATGAGGGAAACTGAGAAGCAATCAAATCGTAAGGCTCCCAACTACACTCCTCTGAAGGGCGGTTTTTCCACTGAACCAGCAAGTGAACATTCGGAACATCTTTGTCATAAACAACCCGAGAGTCTAAAATCTTGTCAGGTTCAAGTAAGAGTTCCCAATCTACTGTAACAGGTAGCGGAGGAGGTACATCCTGTGGTTGACAACCATAAGTAGGTTTCAAGAGTGAAACATGAAAGATAGGATGAACCTTCAATTGAGGCGGCAATTGTAGCTCATAGGCAACATCACCAATGCGACGTAGGACTGGATAAGGACCAAAATATCCAGGTAAAAGCTTGTCAAACTTGCATGAAGCCAAAGAACACTAACGATATGGTTGAATTTTCAAGTAAACCATATCACCAGGCTGAAATTTGAGCTCCCTACGTTTCTCATCAGCATAGGACTTCATTCTAGATTGGGTCGCACGCAAGTTTTCTTTAAGGTTCAGTAGGATAGCATCTCTTTCAGCAAGAAATTTAGACAAGTCATGCACCCTTGTGTCATCAGAGTCAACTCGTATCAGATTTGGAGGATCCCTGCCATACACTATTTTGAATGGAGAAAATCTAGTTGAAGAGTGGAATACATAACTACCCTGAATTCTCACGCCTCTTCCTAGAGTAAACCATGAGAGGACGTAGACTGCCATCAGACACCAAACTAGACGCACAAAAATGTCAACAATAAGCACCATTTCACTAACTTCTAAATTTTACTTACTTTTGACAAATGACCCAGATGAACGAAAAAACATCCAAATGAAAAACGTTCAATCATAAGCTAGACTTGAATCAAGTTTAAGCATGTTTCAAGCTCAGGAAAGCAGCTCTAATGATGCATTTAGAGATTATTTGAAAAAGATCAAAATTATAAAAAAAAGTATTTTTTTGAGATGATATTATTCTCACATACTCAAATATTATAAAATTACTTCTGAAAAACTAATCCAAACTCCTCCTTAACCTGGGTTATTAAATCAAATTTCATCAATTTTTAAAAGCTAATCGTGACAGTATAGACCGCGAACTGTTTCCTCACTCTGACCAATCCTATCTAAGCCATCTTCATAAATATATATATATCTATAAAACATTTCTTTCCATCCAACCAGAGTAGCGTAGAATAAACTAGGAGAGAATAATTCGCAACGTGCGAAGTGGATTTATCAAATATTTTTTGGGTCATAAATATAAAATTTTTATATATACTGTAAAAAAAAAATCTTATATTGAGAACTGGAAGAGTAATAAAGAGAGGTACACGCATGCTCCCGCAAATTCAATGGAAGAACACATCAACGCACGTAGGAAGGAGGAAAAGCTTGGGATCAATGTCACACCGTGGCGTGGGAAAAGACGTCTTAGTAAGCACAGTGACGTCTAAACTGTGACCAAATGCTGGCCACAATCCTCAACCTACGGTCCAATTTAAATCGGGTCCCATTCCCTCCCACTAAAATCATTGGGGGAAATTGTAAATGAAGACATCTGAATATGTAAAATTATGATTTAGGATTCTAAATCTAGAAAATAGCAAATAAGAACTTAGTCTCACTTTGCAAATATAAAATGTGGGTGAAATGTTTGAAATACCCCTAAGTCAAATTATGATTTGGTCTACTGAAGTTGTTATTCGTTAAAGTGAACTTGTCATTTTCTATAATCAATTCGTCATTTGGCATACCCTTAGTCAAATTGTGATTTGGTCTATTAAAATTGTTATTCGCTAAAGTGAATTTGTCATTTAGCTGATGGGTATTTCAGACATTTTACCAAGATTTCATATTTACAAAAATAAGACTGGGTCCTTATCTGCTATTTTTCAAATTTAGGGTCCAAAATAATAATTTTATATATTTGGGGGTTTTGTTTGTAATTTTTCCAAATCAGTATTATTATCACTCACTTCTAAATTAAATATAGGCTATTCATGTGTATCAAACCAAACTTTTTAACCCGCGTTATCAAACAGGCTAACCAATATTTTTTTTTTCATCTTTTCAATTTTATTAATTATTATAATAATTTTATTATATTTTATATCCTAACTAAAAAAAATTAAAAAATATCTATATCATTTATTTTGTATTTTCTATCAAGTATTTGAAGGAAAAATAAAAATTTTATTGTATTTTTTATATATTGTATAAAAAATATTTAAAATAAAAAAATTTTTAAAAAAAGAAAATAATAGTTGCCGGACCAATACAATAACCTATTATATGAGGCACTTTTAACTCATACTAACTAACTCTAACCTGTTATGAGTTAACTCGTAACCCAATGATTGGCTCAAATCACCACCCCAACCTCTAATACTAATTACACTATAAGTTAGATCTTATAATTAGAATCGAAAGTAGTAAATAAAAAAAGAAGCTAAATTAGTTATTTATAATAAATATATATTAGTTTTTTTAAAATACTCTTTTTAATCATTATCATATTTTTGGTCAAAAAATAGCTCATTACCCTATTGAACGAAACCCATTTTTTTATGCATAATTAATTCGAATAGTTTATAAAAATTATAAATTGATGATCAATGAGTTTCGTGTCTGTATAACTCTTGAATTCTTGTATAACTGATTTATCAATTTTAAGTTTTATAGTAATTTTTTATTTTTAATCGCAGTATTGTCGCCGAGGCGGCTCCTTTATTTTTTAATTTTTTTTGGCTTAGATTTCTTGATTTTAAACGAGCATTTCTATTTTACTTTGTTTCGTGGGGCTGAGGAAGAGGATGCGATTTTTTTTTTTTTCCCGCTGGGAGAAAGCAAAAATTCTAGAAAGTGAAAAATCGCGTCCGGGCTCTTCAGGGCCATCTCTCTCTCTCTCTCTGTGGAAAAAAAAAATTTAGTTTTCGCAGAATCACCAAAAAACGTCGGTTTTCTCAGGAAAAAAAACAGATTGAAAAGAAAAAATAGATGTAGGAGACAACCAACACGAAGCAAAAACCCATCCACCTATTTTGACCTAAATATCTCGCTTTCTTCAGCCTTCCTCGTTAGCGATATAATCAAAACCCTAGAAACGGGAGAGATACCCACCCGATCTCTTCCGTCTCTTTCTCGGTTCTTCGTTTATCGTTCCCCGGCCCTTTTCATATTCTAGGTTAGATCTGATATGTTATTTGGTTTTCCTGGTCATTTGTTTTGAATTTGAGGGGTTTGTTATGTTCTGCATTTTATCGGTCTAATCTTGTTGCGATTTGGACAGATCTGAGGATTTGCTCTGGACTGCGAAGGATCCGGTGATTTCCTGTATGGTTTGTTTGGTGACCCGGTAGGAAAATTTTGGCAGTTTTCTCGTTCGATTTTGCTTTCAAGGAATGCCGCTTCTGCCGAAGAGTGATTCGATCCATATTCGCGAGGTGTGGAATGATAATCTTGAAGAAGAATTTGCTCTGATACGGGAAATTGTCGATGACTATCCTTATATTGCCATGGATACAGAGTTTCCAGGAATTGTTCTTCGCCCGGTCGGCAATTTTAAGAATAGCTATGATTACCATTACCAGACTTTAAAGGACAATGTTGATATGCTCAAATTGATTCAATTGGGTCTTACGTTTTCGGATGAGCGTGGAAACTTGCCAACATGTAATACTGACCAGTATTGCATCTGGCAATTTAATTTCCGCGAATTTGATGTGAATGAGGATGTTTTTGCCAATGATTCAATTGAGCTTTTGCGCCAGAGTGGCATTGATTTTAAGAAGAACAACGAACATGGCATTGATGCCCACCGTTTTGGCGAGCTCTTGATGTCTTCCGGAATTGTGTTGAATGATAACGTTCACTGGGTCACTTTTCATAGTGGTTATGATTTTGGCTACTTGCTTAAGCTCTTGACCTGCCAGAATTTGCCGGAATCTCAAGTGGGTTTCTTTAACTTGATCAACATGTACTTCCCAACCATATATGATATCAAGCATTTGATGAAATTTTGCAACAGCCTTCATGGAGGATTGAATAAGCTTGCGGAGTTGTTGGAGGTGGAGAGGGTTGGGATTTGCCATCAGGCCGGTTCGGATAGCTTGCTCACTTCTTGTACATTCAGGAAATTGAAAGAAAATTTCTTTAGTGGATCTTTGGAGAAATATGCTGGTGTTTTGTACGGCTTAGGTGTTGAGAATGGACTGAATTCTCATTGAAAAATGAAACTAGTGAAAAACAGAAAAGCTTCTTGTTAAAAAGTTGTTGGAACTCGATGGGGGATTATCATTATCCTCTGTAAACCTGTGGCATTGACTGTCTAAAATTATGGAAACTTTTATTATTACTTTTCCTGAGTGCTATTTTTGCTTATTGTCTGGTTTTTACATGGCTAATGCTTTTAGTTTTAATTTGACACATGTTGGCAATGGCATACGGCTTCTTCAATCATTCTAAGCAATGGCTTGCATAAGGTTTGCTGCTCAAGTTTTTGGTCTTAAGCCTGTCTGTGAGGGGAAAATAATTAAATAATGTTATAGGGGAATATAATTAAATAATGTTATAAATAATTAAATAATGTTATAATTTACAAAGCATAAATATTCACCTCAAATTGTCATTGAACATCTTTCTTTGTAGCATAAGCTACCTAGTAAAATGGGCACTCTTTACCACAATGTTTAAATTTTAGATCTTTTTTGTTCTCTCTGTTGCCTCTGTCATGACACTTCTGCAGGTTGGTGGGTTCAAACATATAGAACAAGTAACTTGCTGCTGTGAATGTATTGTATTCTCAGTACTGCCATCTAATCCCTGGATACTTATACAAATCACTTTTATTGGCGAGAACCGAGAAGGTGAAGAAATCTTGATTTTATTAATTCTCTGAACTTGTTTTTTATTGACCTATTTGCGTACCCTTGGGAAGGAAACATCATAATCCATGGGGAATGCAGGAGTGATTATGAATTTACTTCTACAGTATTGAACTTCTAAGGGATATATAATTGCCACTTTGAAGGAGTCTTCCCCCCCCCCCCCCCTGATCTGGCGTATTTTTTTTCTTTGGAGACATCTCATGTAACATTGACTTGATTAGGAGCCTTGCATGTTCTGAGTAACAAAGAAAGTAGGTGCCTTGCATGTGCGTGAAGCATTATACCTGATCTGATTTTTAACAGCGAAAAGGTGAATATCTCTGTGTTGGCATTTATTGAAGTGAGGCACCCTTAAATGGTTCGGATGTGATAACTGCATTTTTTATTTGTGTATGGCTGAGATGTGGTTACTTGTCAGTGTTCATGGAGGCCTCTGACTGACGCAACTACATTTTGCACCTGCCACATTGCTGCAAGTTTGAAGTAGAGTACTTTTTGAGGCAGGTATGGATTCTTTGTCTGGATACATCAATGTAGAAGGACTTCATCAGCTCCTAAAAAGAATCAGTATGCACAGGTTTGCACAAGTTCTTTTTTTAATCTAAATGTAAAGGGCAAGCTGAAAGAACTTGAAAGCTAGCATGTGGGGAAAGTTTGGTGCGACTCGGCTATAGTCTACATGGCCATTGTTATATCCTTTTCATTATGAGACAGCATCCAAGAGGATAATAGTTGATTTAATATTTAATATATTCTTGTTTCCTTCCATCTTCTTCTGGTGATATTTAATATCTTAATTTTGTTTTTAGTGTGTTGGGTTCAATGGAGGGAAAGGGAGGAGGGGAGAGGGGAGGAGAGGTTTCTTGATTAGTTCAAGTATCTTGTCAAATTACACACTTGCAAGTGATCAAAGATTTGTTTTTTCGGCCTGGCAATATCCAAGGCAAATCTAGTATTTCTTCCCAACAAAAAAACAAAGTTGAGGACGACGCAATTTACTTAGAACATGATCCCAAATTTATTATGCTTCCAAGGTCATTGGAAAAATTTTTTGGGTCCAAGAAAATAATAGTAGTTTAGAGTTTAATAGTATGTTACATCGATCTAATGTTGAGATTGATCACGTTTAAATTGTGTTGAGAATTATTTGGTTACTTTTTATTTTGAGTCAATTTTTAAATTTGCTCGTTTATGCATGATGTCAAGATTTAAGAATTACTCTTGATGCATGAATGCATGATAAAGTTAAGAGGGATAAATGAGAATGATTTATTTTCTTCAATGTAAAACAAAGTATGAAACAGGGCTTAAAATTGAAAAAACTAATTTACAGCCCTTATAGTTTATCTCACTTTTAAATCATGTTTTTGTAATTTAAATTTTTTTTTTAAAACAAGTTATCGTACATTTGACTATTAAAGGGATTAGTCTTTACTCTTTAATAAATAACCCTTTTTATGGTTTGATGATGTGGCTCTTACATGGTTACGAACGAGGTAAGAATGTATTATTAAAATTATTTTGTTTTAAAAATTGCCAGGTGGATTAAATAATTATTTACCACATAGCTAAATTTATTAGGATTCAATTAGCAAAAATTAAACTACAAGGATTTGGTTACAAATTATGATAAACCATAAGACGTGAATTCATTTTTTTTTTATAAGATCTTATGTTAGCTATTAAAGGGATTAGTCGTTAATAGCTAACCCTTTATATGTTTTGATGATGTGGCTCTTACATGGTTGTCAAGTGTCAACGAAGTAAGAAAAATTAAACTATAAGGATTTGATTAAAACATGTTTTTTTCTTAAATTTTTTTAGGTATAAGTATTTTTTATTGAAAACAATCTCGTTTTGAATCTCTATTTAACATGTCACGAGGAATCAACGCTTTTAAAAGACCCAACTTCTATGGGTTAATTTGTCTAGATTTTAAACTAGAACCAGTCTAGTTCTCGCCGTTTCACAGTGTTCGGTTTTTGGATTATAGCGGACCAAGAGCCAGTTGTTAATTTGATCGGTTGAACTTGGTCCAGTCCAATTTTTAAAATCTTGATATTCAAAATATTAAAAAAAAATATAAAAATAAAGAATACACGTATATACATAATACTCCTCCGGTTTCAAATATAAAACCCATTTTATAATGTAAATTACACTATAAAATAGGTCTTGTATTTAAAACCGGAAAAGTATTATAAAATTCAACTCGCGCCGTGATTTTTTTTTTAAAGATATCATGACCTCTAATAATTTGATACTCTCATTACTTATTTGGTTTGCAACTTCGTAACTACTAATTTGTAATTGAAATTTGACATTTTACTAGGTCATGCTAATAATAAATTCACTATTTGGGTGAAATAACAAAAAAAAACTTTTGACTCTTAGATTTTTTGGTTAATATAATCCTTGGTCCTTCAAGTTTTTCTTCAATTTGGTTTTAATCTCTTAAGTTTTAAATTATAGTTTTTGGCCTTTCAAGAGGCAAAATGGTTTAAGTTTTTATTAGATTATAGGAACTAATATTTTAAATGAAATGAAACTCAAAAGACCAAATCTATTATTTGAAATTTGAGGGACCAAAACCAAAATGAGAGAATTATATTAACCTTAGATTTTTAAATTTTTTAGTTCTTGAATGATATTAAGTCGATAAAATACATGAAAGACAAGCAATTCAACTTACAATCATTACCCATGGCTTATTGCTTTGTAGATTTTATTTTGTGGATTAAAACTTCAACTTTGTGTAATGCCTTTTCATCTAAGGAATCTCAACTGCGCTTAATCATGCATGCTCTCATTTAGTAAAAACAACCCACCCTTGAACTTGAAGTGCACTTCATCCTTCAACAACTTTCACTTCATTATGGAAGAGTTTCATTTAAAAATGAAGAAACAAGAATCACAACAAAGAATAACACTGCCCTCTCCTTCCAAGCAAACACAAATAAAGTAAAAATCTTCAATTCTTTTTAGATTCGAGGGGCAAATAATTATCATCAATATCATTGTATACTTTATAGGTTTAATATCATCTTTAATCCCTAAATTTGACCTCATTTAAATTTTGATCTTTGAAATTAACCAGTAGTTTTAATCTATGAAATTTGATTTCATTTTGGCCTGTTTAAATATCTTTTGATATAGAACAGTGTTTTTGGTCTCTAAATTGAGGACCAAGACCATGAGTTTTAAATTTCGAAGGTTAAAGATGATATTAACCCTAATTTATATTAAATTTTAGTTCATAAACATCATCACTTGTTTTTTTCCCCCGACTTAGTGCAATGTATCAAAGCTCATCTGATTAATGTATCGATATATAATATAAAATGTAGAGCCATCCATACTGTTGCGTGTAATACACGTGAAAATATGCCAATAAAGACAAATAATTATTACTGATTTCTATTTCATAATCAATATTTACATGTATCCAAAGTTAAATTGAACTTTTTTTTAAAAATTGACCTGTCTCTCACACAAATGAGACTTAACATCAGAAAAACGATAATACCTTTTTTTTTTAAAATCTCATAATGATAAATAATGATCAAACAATTTATACAGATCAAATTAACAAACAAGTCTTCATAAAGAAAGCAATCCACACAGAAGAAGAAATTCTGTTGCTCAATAATTGATAGCCCTCCTTGTTCACGTTGCAACAGTACTTTCAGTGCCCTGATCAGAGAAACCATAAGCCCATAACAACACATCACTTGTCACCTATTTACTAGAATCTACAAATGACTGGTATGGGCAGTTTATCCTTCTGCCTTTTCTTATGTATCACTAGATTTTAAAGTATTTGTCACTATGTGTTTAAATACTGTTTTTTTTTTTTTTGGTTGGAACTTTTAAAAGAGAATTTAGCGAGTCTAGTACTGCAAAACTAGACCGGGAAAATTCTTTATATAAAATGAGGTGAGCTTAATGATTTATGAATAGTATGACTTTATGGATTTTATATTATATACATAGATATAGATATTGCTACTTCAACCATGACTTGAGTTTTGTTGGTCCTTACTATTGTAGGCTTTGTCTTAAATCATCCTTCCAAGAAATCCATGGAGGGAATTAAGATGGTGGGGTGATCTGAACCAGTACTTTTAACTCTTGCCCCAGCAATTGAAACTTGTCAAAATTAGAAGGTCCTGCCATTGAAATTTCCTTCAATGAATGTATTCTTCTCTCTCCTTTGCTTCCATAGCACCTGCACTATCTGTAGATTCTTTTGTGAAATCAAAGACGTATGTGTGGTAACCCTCATTCTGCAAGGTTTTTTCGGTTCCAAAATTATAGTGGGTGACCAGTTAAGAGATGGGATTAAGTACCGATAGAAAGAAAAAGGACTTTGGGAGGAACACAACCGCAACTGTTTAAATCACAGACAGACAGAATTTGTGCCTCCTACTACTAGGATTCCCTCCTTCATTTCACCTATGTGATTAGATGTTTCACTTCCGAAGAATTTAATTTCAGCATAATTGTTTTTAAAGGTAATGACTTTAGTTGAGTCGTGAGTAGTCAGTTAATTCAGAAAAGAAACAAACAGTCTAATTCTGCAGTTGCATGTGAATTTATTCAAAAACTATGATGGCTAAGTACAGCAACATTATCAGCTAAACAGGAGAAATGTGAAATTCTAATGCCATTATATCACTATACTGTACAGTGCAATACATTAAACACAAAAGAGATGAAGTTCTTGGAGGCATAGAACTTTAGGAGCCTTTCGGTGAACTATTTTCTGTGGCTCTGAAACCAAGTAAATGCTACAGGTGTAAGTGAGCAACCTCAGTGACAACGTCTCACTAAGTCAAGACTGATAGTAATAGTGAGTATATTAAAATATGAACACATGATACGCATTCTTTCATTAGAGTCTATCCTAACAATGTGAATGCATATTGTGCACAGAAGAGATGAGTACAAAAAAATCCAAAACAGTAAAACTTCAACTATCCTTCTCATCTTGTAGATAACACATTCTTAAAAGTAAGAAGTAACCATAACATGATTCAGATTTGCTTTGCTTTATGCAGAACCATACAAAAGAGAAAATATCATAAAGTTATTTAGTAAAATTCTCACTAGCAGACAAGAGAGGTGGACTGATGTACAGAGCAATTATTTTCAGTGGAAGGTACAAGTACAATATAGAGGAAGTGAAGAACAGTATTAAAAGATACAAAAACATGAAAAAGAATTTGTCATACAGCTCTCAATACTTTGTGAGTAGTTTGCTATGTTTATGCTTTTATTCCCATTTTGTAATAGTGCTTATGCTCATTTCGAGCCATTCAACTTGGTTGTAGACTGATTTTGTAAAGTTTTTCTGCCGTTGTTTAGTGTCATTGGAATATGTACATGTTTTGAATAGTTTTTCAAGCAATATTCACAGTAGTCCAAAATCTTGATTCTTTGTGATTGAAGAAAACTTATCTTTGAAGATTCATTTTAGCTCTTCATTATCATTATTTATATACGAAAATAGGTTGCCGATTCTCCACAAGAATTGAAAGCGTTTGATTAAGTAGTCAAGAAAATTTTGGCACCAGCACTACTCATCAACTAGGATGATTACTCATGCTAAAGGCCCCTATGTTGGTTCTAAAACCCCAATCTGCCAAAAAGAAAGTATTCCGTAATTCAAGCACATAATAAACAGTAACAAAAACTCTTTTTTGGCAAGGACACGACTGATATCCATAAGGGTGTGGATTTGAATGGTACTATTGGTGTGAGAACCTCAGTTATAGATTATTTGTAAATAACTTTTTGAGTTGCGGGTCTACTTCATAATATGTTTGGGATCACATTAGTAGGAACCAAAACGTTCTTTTAACAAAAGCAACCTTTGGGGTTTTCTAACAAAATATGACATTGATCCCTCTTCAATGTGATTCCAAACACTTTTCCTTACAAAAGAGAAAAAAAAAGGAACCTCTCTTCATCACACTTTTTCCTCCTCCATAACTTGTTTCAAGCTTATCTTGTCCACAAGTTGCATTTACCTAATTCTAAATTATGTACCCTGTTTTGCAAAGTTGAACAGAGAGTTCTAACTAATTGCTCTAATTTATGCTCTATTTTTATGTTTGACGTGGACTAGCAGTGGTCCTGTTTCATGGCCATCTTTTCGACGACCGTTGGGTGATGGAATGAATGGTAGAGAAAAATGTACAAATAATAGATGGCAGAATCATCAAAAACCCTTTGCTTATCAAATATGCCAATGTTCATCACTGAGATTCTTTGCACAAGTGTAAACTCGCTATGTGGTTACATATGTTAGCCATAAACTGATCTATCTTGTATGTGGGTGCATATGTTAGCCATAAACTGATCTATCTTGTATGTCGGTGCATATGTTAGCCATAAACTGATCTATCTTACTGATTGCCAAATTAATGCATTAAGTTGAATTTGATATGTGTAATTAATACTGAAAATGCCATATATCTACTAGTTAATGTTGGGATTTATTGATTTATTCATTGCCTTCATAGATAGAAATGAAATTACAGGGAATGTTTGGATGAAACTAAACCATGGTTTGAAGAATAGCTTCTGGAGAATAGATTTTGTGAAGAATAAATTTTGTGAAAAAGTGATTCTGATAAAGTGAGAGTGTTTGGATAGTTATTATCAGAAGCATTTTTTATATGTGCAAATTACTAGAAAAGGCATAAGTTAATATGATAATTACATAAAAGATAGATTTTATAATATATTTTAATTTGAAGGAATAAAATTGTTAATGATATATTTTTTACCAACATAATTAATATTATATAAGATAATGTAAATAATAATTAATTAATATGCGTATATATATTTATAAAATATAAGATTAAATATGTTTATAAAAAAATAATTGATAGGTGTTAAAGTCATATTATTATTGAGATCTATTCTGACAGGCACTCTGACACTCTTTAATTTGAGTCAGAAGCAGAATGGATTTATTTCTTTTGAAACCATGGTTTTGAGCCCAAAACCATGATTTTTCCATAATTGTTCTTGTTTAGCAGTCTCTTTTCCCAAACCATGGTTTGGGAAGACACCCAAACAGGCCCTAAATGGTGGTAATTTATTCCACCAAAATGTGGTTTTGGTGATTTTCAAATCTGCCAAAATCACTTTTGGAGCCCAAACTATAGTTTGGCGCAAAAATATGCCAAACACCCTATATTTTTATGAAACCATGGTTTAGCTCCAAAATTATGGTTTGACCCACCCAAACCATGGTTTCATGAAGAGCAAAAAAATGTTGCTTTTTGAAAAGGTGATCTTTTTTTTTAACATTGTAATGCTACTTCTATAAGAGTTAGTTAACTAATTTGAGTAAATTAAAAAATTATTTAAATTAATTTTTCACAATAAATAGGTATTGTCTTCCTTAAAATACTCTTTCTAATAATGTATATTAGCTAGAAGTACCATTTGATGAAATATTCAACATGTGTAACTACTACAAAGACTACTTTGAAAAAATAAATAAATATGAGAAACAAAATGGATTAGGGTTTTATACTTAAGACCAAATTAAATATCAAAATAGCTCTTATATTAAAAATCAGAGGTAGTATGTTTTTAAAAAATCTAGTTGTGAAAAAATGCTATGGGATTTCATGTTTAAAATCTTTAAGGCAAAATAATATTTTTCTGTTGGCAAAATTTTTTTTTTCCTAAAAGCATATTTAATCTTATATTGTATAAATACATATAATTTTATAAATACATATACACAAATTAATTATTTATTAATGACATTTTTTATATATTATTTATTATGTTGGCAAAAAATATATTATTAAAATTTTTTTTACTTCAAATAAAAATATATTATAAAATCTATTTTTTATATAATTATCATGTTAACTTATGTCCTTTTTACCGATTTGCATATATAAAAAGTACTTCTGATAACAACTAACCAAACACTCTCATTTTATCAGAATCACTTTTTCACAAAATCTATTTTTAAAAATAATTTTTTTTTCAAAAGTTATTCTCCAAACCATGATTTGGTTTTATCCAAATACGTATAATGGAAAACCAATCATGCTTTTAAATTCCAAATTGAACAGTTGCACTGCACAGTGGTTAGCGGCACAGACCTGAATTTGTGTAAACACAAAGAATGTATTGACCCGTTGTTCATGTGGAACTTCCTCCTATTGCAAATTGCTGTACACGCAAACCCATGATGCTCTCAGTATGCAAACTAGTACAGACAAAAGAACGTGTTTGGGAATTCACATGGTTTATTACTGAGACGCAAGAACTTACATTAGCTGACAGATTGATCTGCTTAATTAGAGTAGGAAGACAAACACAGAAAATGGATGGTCAAGAAGGAAAATAAAATTTAGTAGGGTGAAAAAAAGGGAAAAAAGGAGAATGAAGTTGCGGTTATATGACAGAGAAGGGAAAACTTCATTAAAGGCTCTTGAAAGTGCCATATGCTAGACTCCTTGCAGTGTCACATGGTCCACTTCCGAAGCCATAGTTATGTTCTCTTCTTTTTTCCAGCACTTTCAGCCGCTAATTATCTTTCTCTCTCTTCCATCTGGATTCTGCAAGTAAAGCAAACAGCTGCTATAAATGGGACATAGTGTAAACATTCTCGTCAAGAAGAGACAAACATTTGAAACCATAGTCTCTGTTGTTTTTTTAGTCCAAGGAACTTTTACCACAAGAGAGATGGCCAATGAGGAAACTCCAGCAGTCCCTTCAACACCTGCAACTCCAGGGACTCCTGGTGCTTCACTGTTTGGTGGGAATGGAATAGGTAAAAAATCCATTGTCATGAGCAAGTGTTTCAGTGCTGAGGAATGGACCTTGGAAGAAGGAGGCTTACCCAAAGTCTCTTGCTCATTGCCTCCCCCTCCTGTTCCCCCTCCTGTTCCTCTAGGAAGAAAGGTACATTAAATAGAGATATCTGATACAAATTGCACCTTTTTTCTATTCCAAGCTCTTTTTTTTTTTTCATAGGAAAATGAAGAAGAAAAGTCTTTTCTTTTGCGTGGAAAAATACTGACCCATTCATCCTCAACGTACTAATATTAACAGTTTGGTGTTTAAACAGGTAGGAGCTGAGTTTGTAGGAACTTTGATTCTCATGTTTGCTGGTATTTCCACTGCTATTGTTAACCAAAGGACACCAGGTTCTGAGACTCTGATTGGGTGTGCTGCCTCTACCGGTATTGCTGCTATGGTCGTCATCCTTGCCACCGGTCACATCTCCGGTGCTCATCTCAATCCTGCAGTCACCATTTCCTTTGCTGCTTTAAAGCACTTCCCATGGAAACATGTAAAACCTTTGTCTTTTCCACTCTTCTCTATTTTAACCTTATAACCATCCTCTTTTGTTTTGAGTTTCATAGCGCTTACCGAGGCTAAATTTTAATTCTATATTGTAGGTTCCTCTGTATATTGGCGCACAAGCTGTGGCGTCCATATGCGCAGCATTTGCAGTAAAGGGGATATTCCACCCCGTCATGAGTGGAGGAGTCACAGTACCTTCAGGAGGATTTGCTCAAGCTTTTGCTTTAGAGTTCATTATCAGCTTTAATCTCATGTTTGTTGTCACAGCAGTGGCCACCGACACAAGAGCTGTGAGTATTGTTTTATTCAACAACTCTAGTTTACTAAATATGACTTGAAATCTGAAAAAGAGGATATTAAGATTGAGAAAGGCTGTCTACATGAAATAGAGAAAGGAGAGAAATGGAAGATTAAATAATTTCTGAGGATTTTCCTTGTTTAAATTAAAATAATTTCCTGTTACATCCCCACAAAGATTCAAGGATCATGGATGTCCAAAAATTGTTTTTAACAAATTCTCGTTATAGTAGCTAGAGTAATTGATCTTCTCAGTATGAAATCAGATCCTCAGCTCACCTCTTTTCTGGTTTGGCCGAATCCTTATTCCCTGACCATATTAAGATCAATATAATCTCTTAGAACTTTCCTTCCCTATTACCTTTCTTTCAATGAAATCGAACAGTTACATGCTCAAATAAGATATCTTCTATATGCTTAGCAACATAAAAGTAAGACTACTACGAGTAGTGCCCGAGCCAGATAACTTCCCACGGAAGTATGTTGTCCCCGGTAATTCTACAGGAAATATTAATCGACAGGGACATGAATTGCAGTAAAAATGTAATCATTATCTGCATATCAAGAAAAGACAAAATTGGAATCTTCCAAGTTGCACGACCAGATAACTTGATCTAAACGGTTAAGAGCAACCATCTTTATGGGTTGTATAACAAAGCTAGATGGATCGTATCATAATAAGGATAATAATATGGTTGATGCTGCATTTTTATGCAGGTGGGGGAGCTTGCTGGGATTGCAGTGGGAGCGACTGTCATGCTTAACATACTTATAGCCGGGTATGTGCCCCCTTCTACTCAAATCTAACGACAGTTGTTGCTTTGTCATCCAGAAACGTTATCTGTGCGAATGAATTGAAACTGGCCAGGGTAGGCTTGCATCACTACTAGTGTTCAAGTAACAGGAAATCCGACCATATATTACTATGTATACTATTACTAACTTCAATCTTATAATATGAAAAAATATTTGTCCTTCGCCCAGTAGGAGCCACCTTTGCTTTGCTTTCAATTGGTTTACATGATGGTAGGGTATTTAACTGTTTTTGTGACCTCATAAAGTATGACATAATTATCATCAACAACAACAAATTTTATTTCATTAAATGGATCAGTTACATAAATTGCATGATGTTATTGTGTTCCACCAACAATTATTTAGATATATTATTCATTGATAGATCAAAGCTGAAGCCCATAAAGCATGACACTCCAAAAAAAGTGGTCATGTTCAAGAAATGTCAAATATTAGTATAGACAAGGCATGATACTTTAAAATACATAGATATCTCAAAACTTCTCATTTTGCAATGTCCCAATATCCTTGCTTCATAGTGCATGAGATCGTTTTCAACAAATGACCGCACAATATAAACTAACTAGACATCTTTTTTCATATGTTACACAGAGTCTTAGGCAAACAACATTAGTCATGGTATATGAATAGCGGAGTTTCAAATTGATTCTATGTAATATATATTGATTGGTGATTCAAGCATTTGCTTCATCATTTATCACAGGCCAGCAACAGGAGGATCAATGAACCCAGCGAGAACACTAGGTCCAGCTATTGCTGCAAGTAACTACAAAGACATATGGGTCTACCTCATTGCTCCTATACTGGGAGCCCTTAGTGGGGCAGGAATCTACACTGCAGTCAAGCTTCCAGAAACAGACGGTGAAACACAAGGAAAAGCTTCAACACCCCGAAGCTTCAGAAAGTGATTAATCTGCATGGTCACAAGCTTGCGTTTTACATGCTTATTAGACACCCAGCCACAAGATGTTTGTGGTTCATAATATAAAATTTGTGTAAAGCAAGCAAAAAATATATACTGCTTGGTACATCCACTTATTACATATGCAATATATATTCAAGTCAATATGCATTAGTTGATATATTCTGCATGCAAGGCACAGTGCATATTTGGCATATCCCACTGTATTAAATCATCAGCAGATTACCGTAAAGGAAACATAAACACAAATTTTATTCGCCGGAAGAAACATAAGTAGAAACCTTCATTGAAAGAGCCTGGGACTCTCTCCAACCACATGTACCAAATGGAAACAAATACAGCATTTTTCACAGCAATGGTATGATAGTCATAAGTCATCTCCATCCAAGAAAACACCTTGAGCGGAACAAAATTTAAGTAAAAACATATAAATACACAGGGATTTTGGCAAGTTATCAAATATACAGAAAAATCTTTCAGAATACACAATTTTCTACAGTACCTAGCCTTTGCCGTATCACAGATATTTATGTTTGGATCGATGCAACACAGCTAACAAGGAGATGAGCTTATGCAATGTGAGATACATAGCAGCTCAGAAGTTTCCAGCAAATCTGGGTACAAAATAAACAGATCACAGCTACTGCCCGGAAGTGGCATGCAGCAGATGACTCCATATTCATTGCGCTTGTGGAATTTGATATTCATGTGATGATATGTGAAAGCTCATACTGATGATATTTGAAAGCTCATACTTTTTCCTGCGCTACTTCTCCAATCCATCTGCTTCAACATGATCTTTATGAGGCCATGTATCTCCAGTGCAATTATGCCCTTCGGAAATCAGATAGAACTTAGCGAGTACAGAGGCACATATGAAGCATTTTTGTCCCCACAAAGTTCTGCATCTTCATCCATCATCACAAATGGAGTCACTTTCTGTGGAACTCCAAGCCAATTTAGGAGTTATCAGGAAAGCCTCATCCCTCGGGTTATAAAGTACAGTTACTTGCTGATAGTCAAAATATTGTTCTCATTTCAACTTTGTTTCTATTATAAATGTTAACAGAGCTTCCAAATGCTAGAATTGTTACTATCTTAGAGAAGTTCTGCAACTGCCATTAAAAAAGTGCCTTTTTCATATCCAAAAGAGTTTTAATACTCAATGATCTCACTCTACTCTCATTCTCATCCCAAGGAAAAAAAAAAAAAATTTGCAAGGGCTCAATATTTAATTCAAACTCTAAGAAAAACCTTAGAATAGCCTTTCAAAATAGGGCACGGCAGCATGGATATAATACTATTCAATTCAAGGATTCAAGGACAAGTGTGATATTACTCTCATAATAAACGCTAAATTATTGACTTTGGCTGAGTATATAAAAAGCTCAAGACCACAATTAGATGCATATCACCATCTGTAGAGTGAAATTAATAACCCAGCATAGTTCACCCAAAAGAAAATCTGTATCTTCAATGGCAGAATCTCCCTCCAAGACCCATATAAAAACTCAGAGTGAATACAGGATTAACAACAGAGACCCACAACAATCAGGAAATCACGAAATAGGCAGAATTCTACAACTGTGAAGAACTGAAGATATCCAGTTAAGGTTCTGTGATCTCAATTTCAAATACAGAGCCGGGTTGATCTTTATTTTCATGCCATATCTTTAGTTCAAAACCATACAAATAAATATCACTTTGTATCCTATACTCGCACATACTAAGAAAAATCATCCTAATTGAATTTTGAAACTTTATCGTTAACTTTGAAAATAGTTCATCTTTTGCTGATAAAAATTTGCTTCAGTTCAACTTAGCAGGTATATCAGAAAACATAATCTGATCGCTATGTCATATCTTCAACCAAGGGAACTCATAAAAAGACAAAAACTAGAAAGTAATCATCAAAGCCAACTATTTTTCATAGTTCAATGCCCCAACAACAAACAACTTATTTATCACTTCACAAATCAGAAGTTTTACAGGAAAGGAGCAGAACAATATAATTGCCATGGCATACAAGGCATGAAGAAATTTGAGAACTTGTTCATGCCGGAAAAAATTACACATGACATGAATGAAAAGAATAGGACACAGTATTTAAGATTTTACATTCATTATCCGATGAGAATCATCCGCACGTTTGGAAACGAGAAATAGGAAAGGAAGAACATCAAGACAAAATGCTGACCTTGAAAGTGCTTAAACTTGGTGTAATGGAGTGTCTCCAAGATAACACGAGCTTGTCGGAATGCCTACAAATGCAGAATTGGACAAAAAAATTCTTCCTTTACACTTCTTCTATGTTCTTAATTCATCAGCAAGCTTAAAGTAAATCCCACCTCCCAAAATGCAACAAAAGGAATAAGAAGTCTTTTCTCGCATAAAAAATAAATTCGGATCCACCCTATCAGACCGGCGGTATCCCTCGGATCTGACTCATTTCTGTGTCGGGTCGTGTTGAGCTTCTGAACACAGAAAGAACGAAGGAAGCAAGCAACACACCAACTACGTCGGCAACCGCATCTCTAGCGGAAGCTCCGGCAGAGCGAAAGTAGCCAAGCTCATCCGCGGCCTCTTTGGCTGCGCCTGCGAGGAGTGAAGCGATGGATCCGATCCAAATGGCGTGGCGGCGAAGGAAGGGGTATCTGGTCAAGATCGCGAGGGTGGAGAAAACAATAGTAAGGGTGAAGCAGAAGAGTACGTGGTAGACCTTATCTGGGGCCAACCACGGGTCTTTCTCCTCCATTCCCGTAGAAACATCTGCTTCTTCTTCTTCTTCTTCAAGCTAGCTACGAAATCGAAACTCGCTGTTATTCAATTCCTTTCTCTTTGGTTTGCCAGACGCTGTAATTCAATTCCAATCGTCATTATGAATCAATAATCAATAATTTAATTCAGTGCAAGAAGCAGTTCATGAACAACAATGTTCTCATTATTCATGCTCTTACAGATTTCTCACGCACGTTAAAAAAAAAAAAAAAAGCAACGCGCCATACCAATGTTTTTTAACATTAATAAATAGAAAAATTACCTGTCACAGAGTGATATTTAAATTGTGAAATATCCCGTTCATCTTCACTAATAAACTAGTATAACTTTCATTCGTCATGAATGTTATTAGGATTTGTTTCTTAATTATATTCTATATATGCGACATCAATTACAAAATCATGATACTCTCTTCACTTGTTTGATACTTTCTGCAGACCAATATGTTACATGTTAGTTGGGAGTTGGGACAACACATCTAAAAAGTATATATGAAAACTAAGTAAAATTTTAAAAATAATTTTACGATATACGAAATAAATATATAAAAAATTTTATTTTAATTTACAAAAAATACTTTTTAAAAATATTTTTTTAGGTTATCAAACACCCCTCTAAAAGCCAAGAGCTTAAATATCTACATGCACTTAGCCAGTCCAAATAGCATATCTCTTATTCAACTTTGGCCATGTGGGCATATAATTTAAAATTCATACTATTTTGATTCTTAGTATAATAACTAGATAATTCATAAATATTAAAAAAAATAATTAAATTAAGGGAAAATCCCAAAAAAAGCCCCTGGAATATACCAAATCCCAGATTGGGTCCTTAAATTTCGAAAATGACAGAATGGGTTATTGACCCAATCTGTCATTTGTGAAATTCAGGCGAATTGACATTTTTGCCCCTGAGCAAAAGTGAGTAGTTATTCTCTAAACAAATCTAGGTAACGCTTACACTGTTCTAGTGATTACAAGATTCGTTGCAGTTAATAATAAGGTACCTGACAATAATAAGATACCTAACTATGAAAAAATGAGTAGTTATTCTCTACATAAATCTAGGTAATCCTTACATTGTTCTAGTGATTACAGAATTAGTTGTAGTTAATAACAAGACACCTGACTATGAAAAAGTGAGTAGTTATTCGCTACACGAATCTAGGTAACACCTAAACTCTTATAGTGATTCCTTGAATCATTGTAGTGAATGAATAAATTAGGGTAAAATTGTCAATTCGTATGAATTTCACAAATGACAGATTGGGTCAATGACCTATTCTGTCATTTTCGAAGTTAAGAACCCAATCTGGCATTTTCCATATTCCAATGACCTTTTTTTGGAATTTTTTCTTAAATTAATTATATGTAATATATGAGTTAAATTAGGGGGGGGGGGGGAAGGAATCAGAAAGAAATTAAAGGTCTTAGGCTCCTAGCAAAGAAAGTTTTATGTCATTTCTATCCATCAATGTTTCTGGATCTTCTTGGAAACGATGTCATTTGAATTCTGTTGTCAAAGCTACGTACATGGGTTTATTATCGCCGGAAATTAGGATTCTAAAGTAACTTTTGTGTCGCCAATAAAGCTGCCACTGTGCTTTTCCCATGTAACATCCAGAAGTAAATTCCTCATCATTTTAATCTTCTGGCTGCCCAAGTCAGAATCCTGCGTGCTGTTGTAGGGTTAATAGTTGAATCCATAATGTTCAACAGTTCAAGTGACATTTTTTGACCCCAATAACAGAAGCAAATAGTTACGTGATAAACAAGAAATGTCTTCTGCCACACGAGCAGCTCTCACTTCTCCGTCCAATAATAATACCACAACTTCATCAAGTAGCATAATCCCAAAGAGGCTGCCAAATTGTAGTCTGTGTAGAGCAATAACTTCGAGATTTTTCAGGAAATCCAACCAATCAACGAATACATAAGTGCACTTGTAAATGTATATGTCTTGTGCAACTCAACTAATTAATGTCCTTTTCCTTAAGCACATCACATCAAAGCTTTGAAGTCTGAACCATTAATCCCCTTCTATATATATGACCACCGACAAATCACATTATCCATAACTTTGCCCACTTCAATTGTCCAAAATAATGAAACTACAAAACACTGTTATTGCAGGTCTCAGTCATCAGATGCGCCTCTCTATCTTCCACACACTAACACACAGATACAGCCTGTCAGGGTGCACTTCTTAGCAATATTATGCCACTTTGAAGCCAAATTTTTGCTTATGAGTGGTGGTGGAGATAAGTGGTCAGGTTTGAGTAGCAAATTGATATGCTTGGAATTGGATACTTTTGATGTTGTTGATGGTGGGGCTGGCAGCTGGTTGGTGATAGAGAAGTGCATGGACTTGCCTCTGAAGACTTTTGTGTGACAGAAACTCGGAAAATAGACGAGCAGGAAGAGGTAGATCATGGTGGTGTCGGGTCAAATTTGAAAAAGCATTAAGAAAGCAAAATAGTGCACGAGGAATGAATAATGAATGAATATGCGTTCCAAGGATGATTCTGAGAAACAGATAAATAATAATATAAGTCTGAAAGCAATATATAAGTGCATTAATGGTGTGTGTATATATAACTTTGGACTTTTAATCTGTGACCAAGAATGACTGACTTGTAAAAAGAGATCTGTGTCCACCACAAATGATGGGTTTGAATGATGCAAATTGGAAAAGAATGGGAGTTATCAGGCACAGCACAGCTCAAACGAAACAGGCTTTGCAATTATTCACACAAGCAGCAAGAGGACCCCTAATCTCTCTCTCTCTCTCTCTCTCCCTCCCCCCTCCCCCTCTCTCTCTCTCTGTGACTGTGTACTGCATCTACTTGTCGGCCACAGGTCAGCGTCCCCACGAGTAGTCCCTCCGACATGTGGGAATGTCTCATTGGCTTCTCCTGTGCACATGGGGGATGTTTAACATCAATATCAGTGAACTTCTGCAGACTGTCCTTCTCACATTCCTCTCTGCATAATAATACTTCCTTCTAAAGTGTCCATATATTTTTCGACTTGTTCATATTGAATCTTAAAAGTACATGTACATATGGCTTCTTGTTCGTCGCAAATATCAAAGAGCACGTTATCTAGTTATGTGCATGTTGTTTAAGAATATTATAATATGATTAACACTAGTATTATCTTTAGGTCACTGAAATTTAATGATTTTATTTTGATTTTGACAGTTAAAATTTTAAACCAAAGGTAAAATATTGTCATAAGGATAAAAAAAATTTTAGACCAATCAAAATGAGGTTAAATTTCATAAAATAAAACCGTTAATATCAAATTTTAGAAATCAAAACCAAAGTAAGATTAAATTTTAAGGGCTAAAAATAAAATTAACCTTTAAGAATATAGTAACCAAACCTTTCAAAAATATACATTTACACATGGTTGAAATGTTGGGGGGGAGTTTTATATATTTAGCTTAAAAAATATATCATTCAAGCTTTATCTCTTGTTACTTAATACTTGTTGCCAAATCAGAGGAGCGCGTTTGGTTGTTTTTATCATGATAATTCTAATTGACCAATCAGAAATGTATTGCAAAGTAAATATGTAAAAGACTTATTAAGAATTAACTTTATTATTTTAATGAGCTAATGATCAAATATTTAAAGTATTCATCTTTGTAAAAGTTTTAGTGTTGCTTTTAGAGCAAGGCCAGTCAGTGGATAAAAGATTCCAACTGATATTAATAATTGATAAAATCTCTTAAAAGAAAAGCTTAAACGGCATCAAATAATTGACAGAAATAATAAAGAATCACGAAACCAAATCTTGCATGATATTGCAGATAAAGTTGAACATGAAGTGAACGGTGAACTTGAGAGTCTATCATATTGATTTGTTAATTGCATCACTAGCCTTTAATAATAAATTAAATCCCAATCTTTTCTGACCAATTTTCTTTTTTGTTTTATGCACAAATTAAATCAATCTTTTTCATCAGACGCACACTTCCACACATGCAGGATATAAATTTGACAGAGATATAAATAAGTTGCATCCTCAAAATATTCAAATAATATCTCTTTTTCTCTGTTCTCTCTCTTTTCCCAGAGAAAATGCTTGCCACGTTCATTCAACATTGGTTTTTATTCACTTTTTGTGTGCAGAATGCTTTTATCTTTATCTATAAACTATAAAGAATATGTCTAAAATCAGAAAGTGTTTTGAACAAATTCAAAAAGGCTTCATTTCCTATCTGCCTTTGCGGATTGTGGAGCTCAGCCTAACATTATACTGATAGATTGATTGATCCTTTTTTTATTTTATATGCTTTAAGATTGATTGTTTCATTTAATCGGTATGCATACAATTAATACATAAAGTACGTCCAATCGGCCCCAAAAAATATTAAAAAAATTATTTTTTAAAAATTTCTTAATGCTTTATCTATGGTTGCCACACAATGATCAGACAGCTGCAAGGGATAATAGATAATATGGCAAACAGACAAGATCCCACTAAGCAAAGTTGCTTAACAACTAATTATATATGCTTCAAATTTTATATTTAATAAGGGCACGCATCAAAACTTTTTTTTTTTTTTTAACAAAAAAAAAATATGATCCAATCTTTTCACCAAAAAGAAGCCTAGTCTAATCTAATCTAATCTGCATGCATCTTAGACGTCAAAAAAACTATAGAATTTTGAAAGTTTGTTCAAAAGAATAACTGAAAGGGCTTGCTTTTTGCCACTAAGTGCTGGCCCTTGGTGTAATTCTCAGCACCAAAAAAACAATATATGAAGATAAAGGACGCTTGCAAATGAATCTTATTCCAGTCAAAATATAGCACATATTCATACCACAACCCACGAACACTATAGAACTCCAGGTGTCACTCTTATTTAGAAGAATAATAATAAAAGGAGTTCCATTAATTCTAAACTTCAGAACTGAAAATGAGTTCAATATATAAAGGAATCTGAATCTACTGTGGTTTACTATGCGCAGGAAATTGAGATGAAAACCGCTTATTCATACATCATTAGTACAAAGCTGAACTAGCATAGCATCAATAATAGCCTTGTACACCGCTATGAAACCTTTCAATATCCTTTTGTACAGTAAAAATAGCGGTTGACCCTTCACAGATTACTGCATAAAGGTTGGAGGAATAAAGACTTTAAAAAGAAAGGAAAGGAAACACAGCATAAAATGGAAGTTTTATTGAATCTAGCTAGATATATATTGGGACCTTTGATATCCATTAATGGAATTGAAAGATGATGTCTTACGCCACCTTGTCTAATTCATTGAACATAGAAAATAATATGAAGGTACAGTACAGTGGTACGCAGTGTCCATTAATGTCACGGAAGTTGCTGTGCATGAGAAAAAAACACAGTAGAGTGGGTTTTCCCATTCTTCTTCAATATTCTGTTCATGGCACTGTGAATGATTAGAACTTCGTGAAACTCTTGATGATGCCTTTTCCTATTTGAGGCAGACACAAGATGCCACGTTCTTGTCGCTTTCTTTTCTTGTCAAGGCTTTAATCCGAAGCCAACGTGAACGCAAGCAACACAGACAGAGAGAGAGAGAGAGAGAGAGAGGAAAACACTCACAATAAAAGGTTATCACTTAACCATCAAATGTGTCACAGAATTCTTCTCCTGCTTGGTATCACAGAGCCATTGTTCAGTCGCTTATGTCCAACACATTGTGTGGTTGTTGCGACATAAATGAAAAATGAGGTTGCAAGTGAAAAAGGCTCCAACCTCAGTGGAAAGTGAAAGGTTGGAAATTGGACGACGCACCATTTGCTCATAGTATAATATGGTATGATTAGAAATTTTTCTTAGGAATATTAATTGACTGTTGCCCGATTTGTGGCTAAACTTGAGATGATGATCTAGTAGGGGACAAAAGCCAAAACAGTTTAGGATCTACAATAATTGTGGAAGCTTACCTAACATTAATTTGCCATGAAAAATTCAACTCTCTCACCTAAATCTAGCCAAATCTGATAGAATGAAGCAACTAATAGCAAAGAACGCATGTTTTGGCCCCCCTCAATGATATTATATACCAACACTCTTTGGTTTTTCATCTTTTTACTACTTACTTTTAGGTCCAAGACAAGACAAAGTGTATGCTCTAGTAATTAATAAGGAATGAGTTAACAAAATATATTCACGGACTAAGTTGGGTAAAGGTACGATTCAAAGATCAAATAGTTGAAAAATAGACATCTTTCAAGGCAAAGAATATAATTTCCTTAGTAATTCAACTTGGGAGAGGGAGGGAAGATGTTTACTATATCTGGGTGTTTTTGGAAATTCAACGTTTACATGAAGTCATTCCACATATTGTATGGGGCCAGGAAGAAACATAATGGGGATATAATAAAGGAATATGAATGACTGGTGGAGCCCTCAGTGAAAGAAAGTTAAAGAGGTTGGCTGAAAGAAAATTGTTCATTTCATGCTTTTCAGTTTTTTTTTTCCCCCTTTTCAATAGTGTAACAAAGGACATCAAATTGCCTTCTGAAATTCCTAGAATAGGTTTGGATTATTAAATGCTACAACAAAAACATGATCATCAATCAGGAACATCTTTGAGAATCGGGAAAGAAGAAACCAGAACCCAACAATGAAAAAGGTAGCTACAGTTGCTGATAGTATTGGCGAGTAGTGACCTTACCTAGTTCATGATGTCATGTCAAACAGGAAGTCTCCCGTAGAAAAATTATAGTAACATGGAACAGTTGACGCCAAAAAAAAAAAAAAGCATACTTTATTCCAAATATCAAAGAAACTATATATCATCATGAACGGTACTGACTTTATAACCTTCAGTTTAATTCTGAAATGTTTCGGAGATGTCAAGTATTTGAATAGTAGTCAGCTATGTTGCTAGCAAGCTTATTGAGCAATCCTTTTAACTCCATATCTGATGAAAGAAGCTGACAGAGACCTTTTATGGGTACAACTTGACTAGATATCATTAAGTGTGTGATTTAAATACTTTCTTTGCTAAATTATTATGAGACTGTTTATAGTGCATATTAAATAATAGTCTGTATGAAATCATGTGTAATAAGTATGAAAGATCAAGTATCCGAGCTGCCATTATTGCTTGGTATCATAATATTTATGTTTGTCATGTTATAGACTAAGTAAATGGATCACGCCTCTTAATAATTATCCAGACAGGAACAAGAGGAAACTAGTTGATGTCTCAAGCCTATAATGGTGGGGTAGGCACCTAAATTTCAAGGTGCTGTAGCTGTCTAGTTGAGTACCTCATGGTATAGAAATCTAATAATAACAATAGTATACAAATTAATTTGAGGAGAGAATGAGAACTAGTCTATCTATTATGATGGGATACACAAACCATTATTCAGGAAAAGGACAGAAGAGTTTCTGTGAAGATACTGCAAATCCACCAACTGGCTTAAGAAATTAAGAGTACCACACCTTTTATAAGACAAGTCCATTCAACAAAACTTATATTATTCTAAAATTCTAAAGTAAGCTATATCTCATCTTGGATTTTTAGCCCTGTCATAGAACTATAGACGTGAATATACCGAAAAAAGGCTGACTCCAGGACAAGGAATGTAAAGAGACAAGTGGGAAGACAAATAAAAGTTAGAAAAAACATTTAATGGGGTATGCTCTTGTAAAAGTTGTACATGGGTGTTCCTCATAAGTTCCGATCAAATTGGTCTCTAACGCAACTCTCTCTTTCTCTATCTATCTCTATTTCTCACGCACACACAAACATTACACACTCACAAAAGGATGTCTTATGTTTTAGGTCTTGCTATATTAAGACCTTGTAACTGTAAAATAGCGATAGCTACTTCCATACTAGCAGCACAGAGCACTTATTGTTGTTACATCATATACAAATCTCATCTTTCTTGCTGTTAAACCAAACTTTATCGCCCATAAGAAGGTGGCCTTGGCATATATTTCTTCCCATATGGACCTCCAAATATCAGAGCCATGTTCATCTGAAAATTTGAACATCATCTCATTTTCAGATGCTCCAGCATGCCCAAAACCCTCAATGGATTGCCAAACTGAGAAGAGAAGCACTCAAAAAGAAGATCAAACACACCCACAGGACTCAGCTCGTCCTCTTCTGCTGAATCTAAATCTCTCTAACGACGATTCAGCGGATGGATCAAATCCAGAACTCAACCTCATCAATTGTCTTGATGCCAAGTCGTCCGTAAATTCCTTAGAATCTTCTCACGACTTGGAACCCCGGATCTTCTCATGCAACTACTGCCAGAGAAAATTTTATAGTTCACAGGCCCTTGGAGGACATCAGAATGCGCACAAGCGTGAGAGGACTTTAGCAAAAAGAGGACATAAAGTTGGAGCTGCAGTTTCAGTAGAATTTGGACAGAGGTACAGTAGCATGGCTTCTCTGCCTTTGCATGGTTCATATAACAGATCACTTGGGATTCAAGCACATTCTATGATTCACAAGCCTTCTCATCAAGCTTCCACTCTTGGTTTACCGCGTTTCCATGGTCAAAATTCCTGGTGGAGGCAGCCTTTAGATTCACAACCAGCAATTGGAAAGCTTCCTTCTGGAAAAGTTCATATTGGAGATGAAACTGACTCTTCCTTTTCGGGTGGAGTTTCGAGGTTAGCAAAGTTTTCTCCAAATATGGTGGTGAAAGAGGGAATTGGAGCTTACTGGTTGGGAAGTGTTACTCATGTAAAATCTAAACAAGAAGAGCTGCAGAAGCTTGACTTGTCCCTCAAACTCTAAGCAGCAGCAGTAGTAATCCCCTCCACACCAATTTCAATTGTGTCCTTTTCTCTATTGACCAAGAGCTTAATTTCTACCTCTATTCCTTTTCTCTTCTTTTGCCATATGTATCTTTAGTTTCAGCTGCTGTAAATGCATTTTGGCTACTTATATCAGAGTTGTTTACTTGGCATTACTCGTGGATTCATTTGGAAGTTTGATAGCTTTTGATTATCAAAACCAATTTAACTTCAAAAATTATATGCCGCCAGCTTTCTCAAATCCCAAGTCTCACAGGATAAAAAATAAGTTAAGCGAATTCTTCATAGCTTTTAGCAGTTAAAAGTTTGGATTTTACCATAATTACCTAAAGTTTAAATTTATATTAAAAACGAAACCACAAGGGCAGGTGGAGGCTAGAGCTTTATGTTATCCCACTTCACTTTTTTTTTTTTTTCCCGCCATGGATCAAGCTAGCTTCCACTCACAAAAAAGAGAGCTGTAATAATAGCTTTAGCAGTTCCTCCTCTCTCAAAGAGAGAAGAAAGATATCCCAAGGGGTTATGCGTTTTTTTTTATTTCAGAAGTATATGGCAGTGCTCTTGATGTCAACCTAAGACTGTTTGGATCAAGGTATATTTGTCTCACATTTTGGGTGACAGAGGTCCACGCTGTTTAGAGTTTTGGATGCTAGTGATTTATCATTTCTTTTTAATTTATTCTTATGCAAGGTTGGTCCACCAAATGTACAAAAATTTAATGGCTGTGATTGTCACAATGGCTCCATACTTTGACCCACCTGCAGTTGGAGAAATAGACCATCTCTATTGGGATCAAAAGAAGTAGGTGAGGCAAGCCATGTGAAAGAAAGCCACACAATGACCCTCAGCTCTGCTATCACATCAGCTTAAAAGAAATATAAATAATCAAAGGGGTTAAATCTGAGTCTTTAATCTTGATTGCCTTGATTTCTTACCTACAAAATATCTTAGAAAGAACCCCACAAATTGGTAGGTCCATATCTGCCTGATGTTTACAAGCTCATAATCTCATGCTAATCATGAAACGGAAATACTGTGACAGTTAATTAAGAAGGGGAAGTAACTGAAACTCTAGTAATTATGACAGCTTATAATCATAGTAATCTCACACTAACAGAGAAGGATATCAAATATCATAAGCTGAAGCGACAGTGGGATCTATCTCCCTCTGATGTTGCTAAACATAAAACGTTTGAGTATAGACTTTCTTGTTTCCAGATGTAGCACTTCGGTTGGGTTGTCTATTTTACTTGTGGTGGCACGCCTCAGTCCTCACCATTCTTACATTAAAATATTGTGGGGAAAAGCCTTTGTCTTGCCTCTCAACAAAGAAAGAAAGGGGGGGAAAACGCTTTAAATGCACCAATCAAAGCATGTGGAGCCATCATTTTTGCTGCGATAGGGCGAAATTTTGAAGCAAGAAGTGCATCTTCCTCTCAAAGATCTTTTGATAATCAAAAGGAAGAGATTGTCTGTCGTCTGTCTTAAACAAAAGGATACATGGGATATGACAAAATTGAATTGACATCAACATCTCAGTTAGGCCAGTGACGCTGTACGTTTGCTGCTTCCTATTTTCTTCACTTTGGTGTCACAGTTTCTTGGCACTTTCAAGTCCTTTTTTTTTTTTTTTAGCATAACTATTTTACCCCTACTAATTCGAATCCTAACCACGGAGCGAATCAGAAGTTTGCATTCCTATAGGCACAGCTAAAAGGGAAACACGAGCTGAACATATATTAATCATAATTGGATAAGAGAGCTACATTGACTTATATTGTCCAAATTCAAATTCTTTAGGCGTCATGAGCTTTTACTAAACAGTTAATCCATTTCAACAAGATTTCTTCACATCTAATCTTCTGAGCAAGCCTTGCCTGACACTTCATTTTTATGAGTTTGACATGTGGATAGAGTTGAAAGAGGGATTTCACACATGCAATTCATACCTAACTAATACTATTAGAAGAAGATAGGTTTATTACTACAGTACCTTTTTCCCCCTTTTTTACCGAGAAGAAAATTTTACTGTAATTATACACCCCGTATGAGGAAGTATATCATTTGTCACGTCAGCAGTGAATCAGAATATAGACTTTAATAGCACTTCTGTTAACATTAAACGACGCTAATATATAAACATGTGTGTTCCCACGTGTCATTCCCACTTAAGTTTAATTCTAATTATAATGTCAAGTCGTTAGTATCCAATCCTCTAAATAAAAATACATATTAGAAGGGCGTTTTGAAATGACCACTTTCAGATCTTTTTTTAACCAAAAAGAAAATTTTACAATAGTTGTACTTTTCACCCCATGTGCCGTGCTACACAGAAGTATACTCGATATTACTCTTTGTTCAAAGTAATACAATAACTTTGGCGAGCCTGGAATGCGTACAGGTAAAAAGACAAGAAGGAAAGCTCTGTATATTTATCGGTGAAATTATTGGAAGTTGTGGATCATTTGTCACGTTAGCAGAAAATCAGATTCAAGATTTTAATAATGACCTAGCTAGCATTAAACTAAACGAATGTTATTATCCCCTAATGCAAATCATTAGACACAAAGCAATCGTTCTTCTGAAAAACAAGTTCACAAGTGTAACATTGCATCTAGTCTTGAAAACCTAAAAACCTAAAAATAATTGTAAGAGGACGAAAGCCAGCATAACCCAATGATTTGAAAATATATTTGAGTATCAGAAAGGGGGTACAGAACAGATGTGAGTGATACATGTAAAGTTTAAAAATTGCATGAAATACACAATTTTTAATAAGAATTCATACTGCGAAACAGAGCTTTGTTTGGTGCAGCACATGAAGGGGAAAATGACAGTTGAAGAAATACAAGTGATGTCGGCCAAGTCAATTTTCTGAATAAACTCAAACCACTCATGTCTCATACACCTTTAGAAAGATATGTAGCTACATGCTGCCCACCACATAAACTGCCTTCATAATTTAGCGATTGACTATTATTGCTACTGATCAATAATCAGCTGTCACCACTTATTCTAGAAAATGCATACCCTCTCAATTTCTCCCTGAAACTGAAAGTGCCACTTCTGGGAAAAATAAACAAATAAATAAACACAAACATGCGTAAGGCCTATTTGAGTATTAAATCTTACTTGAACGAGGGACCCTACAAACTTCTTGTCCATCTCTCTACCAAACTGAGATTGCAGATTGCAGAAAAGTTGAAATGATGTGAATCCATACTACTATCAAACTTATAAAAGTCATCATTTCTCTTTACTGGTAAATTGCAACATTTTCTGAAACTAGGAAAATAACTCTTGAAGAAAGATATGGCGGTTCACTGTTTTTGTGATCCCTGTTTTCTGAGAAGGGAGGGAGGACAGTGAGGAAGCAGCAAAAACGCCGGTTACAATAGAGCCTTTCTCTGTTGTAAGAAATTACACCCGCACAACAATTGAAAGAAAGTATGGTGAAATCAAAAATGAAAATGCATCCCAGACCAGGCTCTGCTAGCATGATACCAGACTACATAGGATCTAGTGGTCCATTTCATCCAATCCCTTAACCTTCATTTCTTTTCAATGAAAGACTTAACCAACTCCATCCATCTTATGAGCTCCATTTTATTCTTGTTCTTCATGTACTCATGCAGGAAAACAGCAAGTTCATCATTTATACCCCTAGCTTCCAAGAACTCATAAAGGCTATCTTGCAACGCATCATCCAATTCCCTGCCAAGAACCAACAGAACAAGGTATATTAATAGAATTCTACCTCAACTATCATCTAAAATCTTAAGCGTAAAAGCAGAAGTGGAACAGAGTACATAAACCTACTTGAATTGGGGACCAGCATAAGGCTGAGTTAGCTTTTTATTATCACTTGCACGTACAAACAGCCTTTTGATCTCTATAGTATCTGGCCAAGCAGAACACATGATTTCCAAGACACTGCCACCTTCTCCCTTAGATATGTTGACAATGAACGTAATGTGAAGCTGCATATCTTCCTCTTTGGCCGCGCCAGCACCACCTGAATTTGGAATAGGAACGGCCCCGTCAAATGTGCTCACTTCAACTTTAATATCTTCATCCCCAAATTTGCTATTCAATCTAATCCATTGTTCGCCAGGTCGATCGTCAACCATAAATGAGCCAAACTTTGTAACAGGCTACAAAACATTAACAGCCCAGATGACCCCACATTCAAAAGGACATAGATTAGATATTTCTAGCAACCAAAGTCATGGACGGAAGCGATGGGTTTTGTTTAGACTTCCCAAATCTGATAGAAGAAGGTAAAAAAAAAATACCCGAAACAATACATAATTGCTAAGATAATGTAAGATATAGAAGACATAAAAAGTGAAACTTCAATAAGTTGGAAACTCGTCACCCATTTCATTAATTTAGAAACCAAAATTTGTCACTTCCATCGTGACATTCAGCGCATTAGCAATAACGAAATGAAAATACTTTCACCCACCAAGTTCCAATATCAAAGAAGCTTTCCAGGGTTCGTATATTTGATTTCTGTTCTAAATCAAAACCATTCGACATACAAAGAAAAAAGAAGATGAAGACTTCTGGGCGTACGACTAATTAAAGGAAGAAGATGTGTTTTGTGCAACTTGCCAAAAATATAAAAGAAGAAATTTGACAAATTTCCCGAAAGCATCTTTAATGGCCAAGAGAAATGAAGGCACGGAACAAAATACATAATAAAAGCTGAAAGTTAGTTAAGTTAGAACTCGCCACCCCTTGCATAAAGAAATCGAAAATTGTCTATTAACTCCCATCACAGCAATCCAGTGCTTAAAGCAAGAATAAATAGAGAATGATTTCATCCCTCAAACTCCAAATTCAAAGCAGCCCTTCGAGAATCAAATTCAGAGTCCTCTTAATTGGAAAGCAAATTACGATGACCCCTTTGTCTTTGATCAAAATCCATTACACACCCAAACGAACATAAAGGCATGGATTAAGAATGAATAACAGTCAATCATAGACAATGATGTTCCGTAATGTGATGGTAATTATGAAAAGTAAAACGGGAAAGGAATAAACCTGTTTTGGAGGAGAGTGTTCGAGCTCGTACTGAATCTCATTTCGGAGGTATCTAAGGATGTTTCCTTCGAAAGCTGATTTCCGCATTTCAGACACGTAAGAGTAAGTCCTTCGAAAATAAAACATGGGGTTGTGAATGGCGATGTTGTTTCTAGCTGTGGAGGCAGAGAACGATAAGCCATGTCGCTCATGGTGAAGTAACTGAATGAGGGTTCTTCTGAAGGAACGAGAAAGACGATCCATCGACGAAGGGAGGTTTCTCACAGTGCAGAGTGCAAATTCCACACTCAATTGGGTATGTTCAGGCAAGGGTTTATGGTCTGCACCCAAAACCCCAGAAAAGGCAGAAACCCCGGAAAGAAACTTGACAAGAATTTTATTTTAGTTGCGTAATGCTAAAGAGAGAAAAAATCCCATTTAAATCGTTGGCAAGAAAATCCCATTTAAACCCACTTTTTTTTTTTGGGTACAAAAGAGGGCAAAGCCCAAGTACAAGAAATTAAATAAACTCGGGACTTAATCCCATACTCTCTCTCTCTCTCTCTGTGCGCACAGTGTCCTTAATGAAAGCAGGACAAACCTCGTAAAGAACAGAATTTTCAATTCCTCGCTTAGCTAGAGTATCCGCCACACCATTACAGGATCGAGGTGTATAGATCAGCTTTAGTTCCCATGGTAGAAGAAGCAAGTCCTTGATTTGGACAAACATCATACTTCAATTCCGAAGCATTCCTTTGTGCAGCAACTGATCCACCAACTCTTTGGCATCAGACTCCACTATTAGTTTCTTAAACCCAAGATCCCACACCATCTTCAACCCTTCGAACAAAGCCCACTCTTCCGCCCCAAACGCACTACACAAACCAATCTTGTGAGAGAATCCAGCTATTCTTTCTCATAATTGTCAGTTTATGATGAGAAAACCAAACAAAGCCCAACAACTATCACAGACTCGCTCACTGGATTTTCACACCTCTAGGCCCTAGCTGGCATCTGTTCTCTTATTTTATTAAAAATATTTTCTCATACCAATGGGTTGGGTCTAATAAAAAAAGTTAGTTTCTCATAACGTGACGAATTAATATTTGAATTTCTTTTGGAAGAAATACCCACATTTAGTACTTGATAGTACCTCTAATAGGAGGATGCCTATGTTTTAGCATCCAAAAAACATTTTCCTCATCTCTATTTTTTTTTTGGCCGACTCATCTCTATTGTTAGGTTCTACAACTTTTCTCTTCAATCTGACTTTGCTGCTTCTCTCTCGTTATTTTTAAAAAAAAATTCTGAGTTGTATTGCTAAACTTGAAACAAGAGCTTGTGACCGAACAATAATTTATAAGAATTGATGTTTCATTTTTTTGTGTTTTTGGAATATAATTGTCTAATAAAATAATTATTTAAAAAATTTCATAAAAAGAACCTAAACAATATTAAATTTCAAATCAGTTTTATTTCCCACACAGATTTTGACTTTACTTCGTAAAGAAATAACAACATATTTTGTAGGAATTTCTAATTTGAAATTTAATATTTTTCAGGCTTTTTAATCAGATTTTTCCTATTTAAAATTTAAATACGAGATATTTGAAATATACTCCCACGTATTACCTTCATTGATTTCATTCAATCATTTTTTTTCATCAAATTAAAGTGCTTGATTACTTATATTTTCGTATCATAGATTAAATTTTTTATTACAATTAAGTGATGGGAAAATAACATTAAAAAAAAGTTGAAAATTACAATATTCTAATTCAGGTATCTAAGAGGTTAAAATAAAAAAAAAAGTGGTGTCTAATATGATGTTTTACAAATATAATCAAATGATTAAAATGTCCTTGTGTCAGTTTTTTTTTTCAAAAAAAATTATCAAAACTTGTCATTGTTAATACATTTCTTATTATTGGTTGTTCAATACCTATCATTTCACAACTTATTAATAAATAACTTATTATTGTTAGTTCACAACTTGCTAATAAATTTTGATACAAACAAGGGCATTTTTGTTATTTGATCACATTTGCAAAATATCATATCAAACATCACTTTTTTCCTTAAGATTTTAACTTCTTAAGTGCTTGAATTAGAATATTGTAATTTTTGACTTCTTTTTATGTCATTTTCTTAAAATAAAACTTGAGATTGTACCAACAAAAATCAAACTTGATATTTCTATACCAAAAAATGAGAATCTCTTTCGCTACATGTAAATATCCTTCTATTAGAGATAATTATGTTCAAAATACTAGTGAACACTAAATGTGCACCTATTTTCTGGTAATGATTCAAATTTTAGTTTATCATGTTTTAAACAATTAGCCCATTTTACTAGACCCAATTCTTGTTAGTGAAACATGAGGGTTACATCAACATATCATAGCATAAACCAGGCTACACCAAGTATTGTATTAAGGGGAAAAAAAAACTACAACACCACCAAGTACTTAATTCAACCAATAAGGGATTGTACCTGCCTAGATAGAGATATTGAATTTTAAGGTGTTTTAAATGTTGGACTAGACATGAAAACTATAAAGACTAACGAGTTACGATTCAAACGGTCAGGTTGATCAAACTAGTGACAAAATAATTAAATAAAAATAATATTCTATATAATATATATAATAAAAAATGTTAAATAAACTTTAAAAAAAAAAACAACCAAACAAAGCCTTTCCTCTCATTTAGCTCTTTAATCTCACACTCCACATTCTATCATCCTTTAAATATTATATACTCATTTCTTTTTATCATCAAAAAAAAATATTCCGTACCCTTAATACTAAAAATGATATTATATATTTATTTTAAAAGTAAAAGAAATACTATATAATTTACAATTTGATGATAATAATAATAATAATAAAATAATGAATAAATATTTATACACAGCGTACGAAAAGTTCAAAATATATGCACAACTTAATATTATGTCAATAAAATATATGCTAATAAAAAAATTTTCCAAAAAAAAAAAGGGTGAAAAGACTTGGAACTTTTTGAATTGACTTATAAGTAGCTTTTTCAACATAATTTACGAAATATGAAATAAGTATGTAAGGAGAGTTTTGTCTTAATTTACATGAATTTATTTAAAAGTCTATTTTGAGCAGAGTTCCAAACAATCCCTTAGCGTCCACATTTTAACAAGTGTCAGGTGAATTCACCTCCTTCCTCCACACGTAGTTAATGGCCTGAGTCACATCTTCTTACATCTTCTTTCTTCCCACTGGCAACTCTAAAGTCTGAAGTTTGCAACTCGTTTCTATAACTATTGTAACGTTTTGAGTTTTATTTTGAGTTTTAATAGCCCTTTAATCTTGATTTTTTTTAGGATAATTGGTGTTTAAACTTGAATCTTGTTATTTGGTTTGAGATTAAAGTGAGTTGGAGGAATCAGGTGAACAATCCCTCCTAGGATTTTTTTGTCGCGGCAAAGTGGAAGTAACGTCCTAAGTTTCAAACATATGCGAATTTTTTTTCTATTATGGGAGATTGTCGTAACGATTTTCCTTTTCTATCATAGTAGTAGTTTTATGACGAGTTTTATATATATATTAGAAGAGGAGTTTTACAACTAACATCCCAGCTTTCAAAATATCATGGAAGAAGGGAAAGAAAACTGATCGGTAGGTGGGTTTTAATTGTTCTTGTTCTTCGCTTTTTCCATCTTCGTCATTATCTGTGTGTCCTTCTTTCTTTCTTCATCATTCTTTTTTTCAAATCATGATAAAAGACGCAAACGAAGAGAGAATGAAATGACGACCTTCAATCCAAATTTCAGCTCAAATGTCAATTTAAAACGGTTCAAAACGGTTTAACCTCTCAAATGGTCCAAATATAAAGAAGCGGATGTCTGGTCTGATCCTGCTTTCAATACATTACTCTTAACTTTGAAAATGTAGTAGTGTTCTGTTTACCTATCCGTTGGCGAGTGCTGTTCTATTTCTTCATTTTATTACATTCTCTTTATTCAGCCCTAGCAAAATTATTTCAACTTGCACCTTTCTTAAAACTATTTTTGTCGATTTACATTACATCTTTCATGTGAAAGAATTAAACTAAAGAGGCTAATAAATATCACTCAATAAAACAATAAACGAATTGCAGTCAAAAACCCAAAATCCAAGTCCAACACATTGGGATTCTCTCCTAAAAAAAAAAAAAACACATTGGGGATTGGTTCTTTTTTACGCAGGCATACGTATACTGAATGAGGGCAATTCTTTAGGTAGAAATTTAAATATTGGTCCATTATGTTATGTGAGATTAATTTTTTTTGTTAGACCCAATCCCTATTAGTGGGATTTATTCTTTTTATATAATTACATAGGATATCCAATACTACTCAATAGTTTCTAACAATGTTAAGCTTAATTGAACAAAGAATTTTTTTTTTAGAAAAATGACAATAAAATAGTTTGAAAATTGCTAAAAAATAAATCAGCATGGGTGAATTTCAAAATCCTAATTTAAACCCCTTGACCTATTTTAAAATTTTTAAATCTTGTAAAATTATGCAAACACCCTTCATTATTTTCTCTCTCTTTTTTTTTTTTGGTAAATATTGCCACCTCAACACTCTTAGCTGGTTTTCAGTTGTTAGAGCTCCGATGTTGCCACCGAAGCTTTGATGACTGTTCTTGTTTTATATATTAACTATTTTTTTTATAGTTATTGACTATATTTTTTTAGAATTTTAATAACTACTTTTGTTTAGATACTAACTATATTTTTTTAGAACTCTAATAACTACTCTATTTCAAGTACTAACTACTTTAATATTGTCATTAACTGTTTTTATTTTTAAATATTTGGTGACTACTCTTGCTTAACTATTGACTACTTTAGTTTTATTACTGATTATTTTTATTTTAAAAATTCAAAAAAAGCATAAAGTGTTGTTAGAGATCTAGTGGCTATTTTTTATTTAGTTATTTACTACTTTTATATAGTCAATAGCTATATAAAAGTAGTTATCAGAACTTTAAAAATAAAAATAGTTAATAATAAAAATAAAGTAGTCAATAACTATATAAAAGTGGTTATTGAAAATAAGAATAATGTTGTCATTTAATAAAATTTTAAAATTTCAAAATAGTATTGGATGTATGATTTGATATTTTAAAATTTACCCTTCCTAATTTGTCCTTTCAGATTTTTTTTATATTCCAATTTTTTCCTCTTTAAATATATGTGTCCAAAGTGTGAGATAAAAGTATCTAAACTTCTAGGTAGAATATAATATAACTCTCGTGCAAAGCAAAGAAATTTTTTAATATGTGCTCAATTATTTAACCAACTTTTAAGTTTGGGTT